GCTTGTTCATGGGGTACCAGCCATCCATTGCGGATCCACATGTCCACTTCCTCGCAGAACTGTGACTCCTGGTCTATTGACAGGCTACGCCGGGAATATTCACCAATGCCTGACCCGACTGGATGCGTGGGGGATTCGTCTTTCCATGCCCATGTAAGCTCCCAGCAGCCAACATCAGCTCTCCAACTGTTACAGACACTTTGCACATGACTTCACAATATTATTATTGTATTTGCTCGTTCGAATTTATTTGTATTTTGTTTCTCTCACCTTTCACTGTTCCCTTGTTGATCACATACCTGCGTGCTCCACTCTGCTGCAGTTAGAGGCAGCTACTCTACATGCAGTCGAGACGATTCTATTGTGTATCTGCATGTCTTCTTGACAATATCTGTCCAGCTCTAAATAATTAGAATTAAATTCCGCTCTAGCTCTCTTCTCTCTTCTTCTTTTCGATTTATTTATTTTCGCTCCTCTCAGTTATTTTTGTTTTGTTTCTATTTTGTACTAGTTTCGGTACGCTATCGCTCTCTCTGCATGATGTGATGCAGTTTATGGATGTCGTCACTTCTTGGGGCGCCGTCCCTGCACCTTTGGGGCGCAGTGCACCGGATGCGCAGTGACCTCTACGATGTCCGCCAGAGCTAGGCATCTTTTTTGGCTGCATGTTTCCTTTTGCGTTGCCAGCTTTTCAGCTTGAAGCTACTTGTACTACTTGTCGCTCTTTGCTTTTCAGAACTCTTTGAGATTCAGTTTTATTCCACTTTGTAAAGAACAAGAACAATGGTTCGAAGAAAATCTTGTCTACCATGGCCAGAGGGCCGCAACATGGTTCTTCGAGCCGGATGGGCAGATCTAAAGAAATATACAGTCTTCAGATTACAGAAACACAGCAATGTTGCTACGAAATCGTAGGGGTGAGGGCGAAACGGATATGGCCGATGTCGTCGAGCAGGCTGCTGAGATGGAGTTGCCAGCATCCCCTGCCTCACTCGCATTATCGATGAGATCGTCCTCCACAGTAAAACGGCAAAATGCAGAGGCCAATTTGGAAATGGCACGGCGTTTGATGGCAATTGGGGAGGCGGATGCCCAAGAAAGACTGGATAGGCAGAGGCGTTTGCTTCAATTGGAGTTGGAGGCGCGCCACGCCCAAATCGAAAACACCTCGTCCGCTCGTTCGCGACGATCGTCTCGTCCTGCATTCAGTACACCGACTCAGCATTTCAGGCCGTTGTTGGCATCCTCAACAACCCTATGAGCAGTGTCGTTGACCAGCTTTGGCCAGGAGAATATAGTAGAAGTAAGCTGATCTCAGCCATGATTAGAAACAGTCTGTAAACTTCCGGGAAAGTCCGCCTTGACAGCTACTAGGCATTGGGTAGAGACCCAGAAACCTGGCACTGCACACACCACACTTGCGGCAGAGACAACAGCAACAAAGCCAGCTCAGAAGAGTCCTGAGGCTTGAAGCCTGCACCCAGCGCAAGCAACAAGCGGCATGCAGAAGTTCCTGATCCGACAGACGGTTGGTCGTGACTTGCCGGCGTTCTCTGGCGACTCGGAGGAGTGGCCCATATTCACCTCACCTATATACATATTCACCTTGCGCATACGCAACGTCGGATGAGTGCATCGACACGACCGAAGTGAAGAAAGAGTTCGTTGCGGCAACAATATCCCCGCCAAGGCCCCAGCAATTTGCCGAATCGCTGCCTGACGTCAACCATTTCTCGTCATGGAAACGTCTCATCTGCACAACCGCGTATGTTGCCAGGTTCATCGCAAACACGCGGGCCAGAGTTTGCAGACAAACTGTCAAATCAATCGCAGCCATCTCAGCCAAGGAAATGGATGCGGCCGAGCAGCCCTGGATGAAATCTGTGCAGGCAGAGTGTTTTGCCATAGAAGTGGCATTGTTGAGCGATGGCCAGCCCGTCAGCACCAGCAGCCGTCTACGACAGCTAGCACCAACCATTGATGAGGACGGGATCCTGCAGGTTTAGGGTCGCCTCACACATGACGTACAGTGCAAAACACCCGGCTTTCCTGTGTCCGAAGCATAGGTACACACAGCTCCTAGTCCATGAATACCACCTGCGTTCTGGCCATCATGGACACGAGAGGACATTGAATGAGCTTCGCCAGCAGTACTGGGTGACGACGGGTCGAGCAGCTGTGAAGCTAGCATGGTCTGAGTGTCAATACTGCAAGAACCAACGAGCCAATCTCAAGCCACCTGTAATGGGAAATCTACCTGTCCAGCGCTTGACCCCGTTCCTGCCACCATTCGCATTCACCGGGCTGTACTATTTCAGACTGTTGCACATCAAGATCGGGAGGCGCCGCGAACTATGCTACGGTGCGTTGTTCACATGTCTGAGTACTCGCGCTGTACAGTTGGAAGTGGCTCACTCTCTGAACACTGATAGTGCCATCATGGCAATCAGGCGAATGTGCGCCCGGCGAGGTTGCCCCCAAGAGATCCACTCAGATAATGGAACCAATTTCCGAGGAGCTGACAGGGAGCTGAAGGCAGGATTGGAAGATTTCCGCCAAGACCGACTAGCTTCTGAGTGTTCCAGTAGGGGCATCTCATGGCACTTCAACCCGCCACTAACTTCCCACATGGGTGGAAGCTGGGAGCGCCTCGTCAGAGCAGTGAAGATCGCTATGAAATCCGTCATGAAGGAGCGTGTCGTGACAGAAGAAGTCCTAGCCACGGTCTTCAAGCAACTCGTGAATAGTCGGCCGCTGACTCACGTCTCAATAGATCCTGATGATCACGAGTCCCTCACACCCAACCACTTCCTCATTGGGTCCAGTAGTGCGACTAGTCGGCCAGGCGTGTTTGTAGATGCTGATCTGCGCCTGAGGAAGCACTGGCGGATTGCACAGAAGATCACCGACGAATTCTGGAAGAGGTGGATCTTGGAATACCGGCCAGAACTCACCAGGCGGAGGAAATTGCAGGACGGGACACCGTCACTGGCTGTAGGTGATGCCGTGGTGGTCGTCGACAGCAACCAGCCACGAGGGCAGTGGCCTCGGGGCCGACTGGAGGCTGTACACCCGGGCAGTGATGGCGTTGTGCGAGTAGCAGATGTCCCCACCAAGTCTGGACTGTACTGGCGCCCAGTCGTCAAGCTTGCCAAGCTGGGCGTGCTGCGCTGAGTTTGTTTGTGACTTGTAATAGGTCATCGGTACCCTGTTACCAGGGGGGAGAATGTTACAGACACTTGCACATGTATTCACAATTATTGTATTTGCTGGTTCGAATTTATTTGTATTTTGTTTCTCTCACCTTTCACTATTCTCGAGTTGATCACATACCTGCGTGCTCCACTCTGCTGCAGTTAGAGGCAGGTGCTCTACATGCAGTCGAGTCGATTCTATTGTGTATCTGCATGTCTCCTTGACAATATCTGTCCAGCTCTAAATAATTAGAATTATATTCCTTCTCTCTTCTCTCTTTCTTCTTCCCTTCGATTTTTTTCGCTTCTCTCAGGTATTTTTTTTGGTTGTACTTTGTACACTATTGCTCTATCTGATGATGCGATGCAGTTTATGGATGTCGTCACTCCTTGGGGCGCAGTGCACTGGATGCGCAGTGACCTCTACGATTTACGCCAGAGCTAGGCATCTTTTTTGGCTGCATGTTTCCTTTTGCGCTGCCAGCGTTTCTGCTTGAAGCTACTTGTACTTGCTCTTGCTCTTTGCTTTTCAGAACTCTTTGAGATTCAGTTTTATTCCACTTTGTAAAGAACAAGAACAAGTAATGGTTCAAAGGAAATCTTGTCTACCATGGCCAGAGGGCCGCAACAGACGGTGTTATGTAGTAGGAAGGTTTCCGTCCTGAGATTTTCTGAATTTGTTTGCTTGACATTCGAACCGAAGCGCACATTAACTTTAAATAAGTAGGACCAAGTATCTACTTTTTATACCCACTCCCATCCGGGGAAATGATCAGGTACAACCACTGGGGTACAATCATGATGTCATACCCCCTTCACAACCTTTCTATTACCCGAAAAATCGTTTTTTACGTAAAAACCTGGCATCCGGTTTTTACCCCAAAAATGGGGTACTACCAATAGTACCCCATTTTTTAGGACTAGACCATGTACCTCACCCAGAACCGGCCCGACACATCCTACTCACTTGTACTTGTACTTGTTGCTCACTGCCAAACATGGGTCTCCCCGGGAGAGGGGAGAGAGACTCAAAAGGAATCTTGGAAAGATGACTAAATTGGCTATTGAACCGCCCAACGGCCGACACCCCCTGAAATCCCCAAAACTGTGGGTGAACTTGAAAATGATGCCACTTATGGGCTCACCACACCTCAGTAAGTGGGTGAGGATAAGGTGCAGAAAAAGTGTTGACCACATCAGGGTATCCGTCCAGGGATCCAGCTGCAGTTACCCCTGCCCCCAGTGAAGGTAGTACTTGCTTCTAGTGTGGGTGGCTAAATCAGAGTGGATCTGATATAAGCTTCATTAGCACCATTGATTACACAAGAGTTAATCTAGCCGTTCGGAGCAGACACTTTCTTCATTAGAGAGGTTTCGTTTCACGTTGTTCTGCACTACACCGTGAAATTTCACGTCGGTGTGGCAAATTTTTGGCGTCGAAACTCCCGTTCATGACGTGAGCTGAGGTCAACTCACGTTCGACGTGAACGCGAGTTTTGCAAATTTAGCCTTGCTATCAGGTTGGGATTATGGACTCGATTTTGTCGATTTTGCCTAAACTAGCTATAAATAATATTTGTGTGACTTTGGCCTCACCAGAAAATCACTTTTTTCACTTTTTGAAGTTTTCGCTCCCAGTTTTCGCTCCTGTCGTCAGCGAAACGACGTGCTTCACAAGCAACGTGAAGCGAAAGCTCTTTTTGAGCTCGCGTCAACGCAAAAATTGACGTTCACGTAAGAGCACAAATCACGCGGGTCGAAACCTCTCTATTCTTATACTACAGGCAATAATTATTATGAACTCACCGTTGGAAATGCAAGTCCGGATTGCTGTGAGGAAATTCTGGTCTTTCCGGTGTGACCTTATAATGACTGCCAGCACAAGCTGGAAGTCCTTACTGCAATTATTTAGCTGGTCGTATTCCTGCTGCGAGATGTGGGGCTGGGCAGCAGCAGCTACGTCAGTGCGCCTCGAAAACTCCAGCTCATTGTCATAGCTCTGTGGCAGAACTTCAACATCCTCCTCATCCTCATCAACCTCATTGTCCTCTGACAGCACTCCATCATCCTCTGTCAACTCGTCTAAGGCCACAGTGGAGCTGCTAGAGTTGCCTAAAAGTCAAACAACAAGAAGTTCATAACGTCACTTCATGTCAAGATCATAGGCAAGGTAATTGTAATTCGTGCAAGAAGGCAAAGGTGGACTCGCAGGAGTGTTCAGAAAAGACTAGGGCTTGATAATTGAAAGTGCTACATCATAGAAAGCCAGGAGCCAAAACATAGAGGTGACGTTGGATTTACTTGCCGGGTCCATTTTTTTGGCATGTGGCCATACACGTTTTAAGTGGTTTTCCAACACAGCATAGTGCCACATCCATTGGTAATGACTGCACTGGGCCCTCCATGTCACTTCTTGTACGGAACAAGTTTACGCCTACACGCGACACAAGGCGTTTGTTTTGTTTGTTTGTATAAAGCTATATTTTACTTTCCCATGGGTCCATCTACTAAATCAGATTCTTTCCCGTAGGTGGAGTGGATCCAATTTTTGTTGCAAGATTTTGACTGCTAACGACTTCTGACGTCATCGCTTTCAAGCCCCACTGAACTTGATACGAGCACAGACAGCGGAAGGCTGTCAAAAACACAGTTTCTTTGCCTAGCGCAGCTGTGGTACAACTTTGGGACCGATTTACTTGGCTCTGAAGCTGGTTTACAACTCCGTGAAGACTTCCACTTTGCCTCAACGTTTTCCTTGGCGAAAACCTTTCCAGGAAGTCAAGATAATGACATATGAGCCGAGCCAAGCAAAAAGGTGGCTTAGGCATAATTTTTGGAAATTTCTTTTTCATGCCAAAGTGATGTCTACCTATCCAGCTTCCATCAAGGAAATTTTGGTGCCCATCTGAAATGTATATGTGCCATAAACAAGCAAACATTGCGCACATGTCCCAGCATGCCTGGTATCAATGAAACTAAGATAATAATCATTATGAAGACCTGCCCCCCCCCCCCCCTCCAGAAAACATGGGACACCAAATCAAGACAAAGCTTAGCAGGTGTGGAAGCAATACAAGAAGAACGAGCACTTGAGTTGTGATTAGAAGATCCAAGAAAGAAGTAATAATTGATCTATGCATCTCATGTCATTTCATCACGCAACACGAATTTTCATATCCTTCAATGATTTTGTGAGTCTGTGACTATATTTTCGTGGGCTGGGAAATGTCGCATCTTACCAAGACAGTCCGTCATCCTCTCTCCAATCACCTACGCCATGATGAATTAATCCTTTCCTGTAGCTCGTAGTGTTGTGCCAGAGATCGAGCTCTATTGGTCTCTTGCACGTAGGTCCAGCAGATTGCACATCGCTAAAAAGTGGCACTGATTCTTTGTCCGTCCTAGTCCATGTCATTCTCCTTCCCTGGTGTAGGTAGTGGAGAAGAACCACGGGACGATATGCTAGCAGGTAGAGTCAATGCATCGCTTCGCCGTGTAGCACTATTGTAGTATTGTAGTATTGTAGTATTGTAGTATTGTAGTATTGTAGTATTGTAGCATTGTAGCATTGTAGCATTGTAGCATTGTAGCATTGTAGCATTGTAGCATTGTAGCATTGTAGCATTGTAGCATTGTAGCATTGTAGCATTGTAGCATTGTAGCATTGTAGCATTGTAGCATTGTAGCATTGTAGCATTGTAGCATTGTAGCATTGTAGCATTGTAGCATTGTAGCATTGTAGCATTGTAGCATTGTAGCATTGTAGCATTGTAGCATTGTAGCATTGTAGCATTGTAGCATTGTAGCATTGTAGCATTGTAGCATTGTAGCATTGTAGCATTGTAGCATTGTAGCATTGTAGCATTGTAGCATTGTAGCATTGTAGCATTGTAGCATTGTAGCATTGTAGCATTGTAGCATTGTAGCATTGTAGCATTGTAGCATTGTAGCATTGTAGCATTGTAGCATTGTAGCATTGTAGCATTGTAGCATTGTAGCATTGTAGCATTGTAGCATTGTAGCATTGTAGCATTGTAGCATTGTAGCATTGTAGCATTGTAGCATTGTAGCATTGTAGCATTGTAGCATTGTAGCATTGTAGCATTGTAGCATTGTAGCATTGTAGCATTGTAGCATTGTAGCATTGTAGCATTGTAGCATTGTAGCATTGTAGCATTGTAGCATTGTAGCATTGTAGCATTGTAGCATTGTAGCATTGTAGCATTGTAGCATTGTAGCATTGTAGCATTGTAGCATTGTAGCATTGTAGCATTGTAGCATTGTAGCATTGTAGCATTGTAGCATTGTAGCATTGTAGCATTGTAGCATTGTAGCATTGTAGCATTGTAGCATTGTAGCATTGTAGCATTGTAGCATTGTAGCATTGTAGCATTGTAGCATTGTAGCATTGTAGCATTGTAGCATTGTAGCATTGTAGCATTGTAGCATTGTAGCATTGTAGCATTGTAGCATTGTAGCATTGTAGCATTGTAGCATTGTAGCATTGTAGCATTGTAGCATTGTAGCATTGTAGCATTGTAGCATTGTAGCATTGTAGCATTGTAGCATTGTAGCATTGTAGCATTGTAGCATTGTAGCATTGTAGCATTGTAGCATTGTAGCATTGTAGCATTGTAGCATTGTAGCATTGTAGCATTGTAGCATTGTAGCATTGTAGCATTGTAGCATTGTAGCATTGTAGCATTGTAGCATTGTAGCATTGTAGCATTGTAGCATTGTAGCATTGTAGCATTGTAGCATTGTAGCATTGTAGCATTGTAGCATTGTAGCATTGTAGCATTGTAGCATTGTAGCATTGTAGCATTGTAGCATTGTAGCATTGTAGCATTGTAGCATTGTAGCATTGTAGCATTGTAGCATTGTAGCATTGTAGCATTGTAGCATTGTAGCATTGTAGCATTGTAGCATTGTAGCATTGTAGCATTGTAGCATTGTAGCATTGTAGCATTGTAGCATTGTAGCATTGTAGCATTGTAGCATTGTAGCATTGTAGCATTGTAGCATTGTAGCATTGTAGCATTGTAGCATTGTAGCATTGTAGCATTGTAGCATTGTAGCATTGTAGCATTGTAGCATTGTAGCATTGTAGTATTGTAGTATTGTAGTATTGTAGTATTGTAGTATTGTAGTATTGTAGTATTGTAGTATTGTAGTATTGTAGTATTGTAGTATTGTAGTATTGTAGTATTGTAGTATTGTAGTATTGTAGTATTGTAGTATTGTAGTATTGTAGTATTGTAGTATTGTAGTATTGTAGTATTGTAGTATTGTAGTATTGTAGTATTGTAGTATTGTAGTATTGTAGTATTGTAGTATTGTAGTATTGTAGTATTGTAGTATTGTAGTATTGTAGTATTGTAGTATTGTAGTATTGTAGTATTGTAGTATTGTAGTATTGTAGTATTGTAGTATTGTAGTATTGTAGTATTGTAGTATTGTAGTATTGTAGTATTGTAGTATTGTAGTATTGTAGTATTGTAGTATTGTAGTATTGTAGTATTGTAGTATTGTAGTATTGTAGTATTGTAGTATTGTAGTATTGTAGTATTGTAGTATTGTAGTATTGTAGTATTGTAGTATTGTAGTATTGTAGTATTGTAGTATTGTAGTATTGTAGTATTGTAGTATTGTAGTATTGTAGTATTGTAGTATTGTAGTATTGTAGTATTGTAGTATTGTAGTATTGTAGTATTGTAGTATTGTAGTATTGTAGTATTGTAGTATTGTAGTATTGTAGTATTGTAGTATTGTAGTATTGTAGTATTGTAGTATTGTACTTTTTAGCGATGTGCAATCTGCTGGTATTGTACTACCTCCGACAAGCGAAACTTGGCGCGTTTTTTTGTGCTTTTGTTGTGTTGGTACCACAACTAACTGACTTCACAAAGCTCTGAGGTTGGTTCCACGACCCACTAGTACTTTTAGCTCCATGCAATTGGGTGGAGGAAGCCAAGCGAAGAGCTGATGAGTGGCACATGACTCAGACTTAGTCAGAGGCAGGCTGGTCTCTCTTGTACCGGCACAACAGTGCGCGCGTTCATTCTGCGAAGGAAAATCGTCGTGCTTTCGCGTTTCAATGCAAAACCAAGGAGTTCTCTCTCTCTCCACTTGATCCCTCAGCCAGCACAGAGTCCATACGTCCATGCCAAACAATCCTGGTGTCCTTCGATAGCCTCCAGAGCGATGCGTCTCTGTTGGCTAAGGGAAATCGCCAGGAATTGCTGCAGGCAATTATTTTGGACTGTTGGTGAGAAAACCCGGCAAAAAGTTTTGGAGTCCAGGCGCAGGTGTGGAGGTGTTGCACAGTTCTTACCACGTCAACCTGGAATGTGGCGGTGGAAAAGACTACCCTCGCCATCGTGGCTCAAACACAGCACATAGGAACGACATCGAGATTTCCAGAGCGTTCACAACAAAGCCACGGCACTCGCTGCAACTGAATCCGCTCTTGTCGCACTTTCGTCTCAAAACAGCGACAATTCCTATCCAGAAAAAACTGCGATCGCTGAATCAGAGGAGAGTGATTTAGCCCAACTGATGTGTCTAAGGTCCTTGTTGAGCAATACAAAGTTGTATTTTGGCGAGTCAATCTGCTTTGATTGCAAAGTGTGTGTTATTTCGAGTAATTTGAAGTAAAAAAACGCGCCAAGTTTTGCTTGTCGGAGGTAGTAGTATTGTAGTATTGTAGTATTGTAGTATTGTAGTATTGTAGTATTGTAGTATTGTAGTATTGTAGTATTGTAGTATTGTAGTATTGTAGTATTGTAGTATTGTAGTATTGTAGTATTGTAGTATTGTAGTATTGTAGTATTGTAGTATTGTAGTATTGTAGTATTGTAGTATTGTAGCATTGTAGCATTGTAGCATTGTAGCATTGTAGCATTGTAGCATTGTAGCATTGTAGCATTGTAGTATTGTAGTATTGTAGTATTGTAGTATTGTAGTATTGTAGTATTGTAGTATTGTAGTATTGTAGTATTGTAGTATTGTAGTATTGTAGTATTGTAGTATTGTAGTATTGTAGTATTGTAGTATTGTAGTATTGTAGTATTGTAGTATTGTAGTATTGTAGTATTGTAGTATTGTAGTAT